ACACTACTAACTAGAGAGTACACATACAAGTAGTAGATAGAAGTATGGAACTAAAGAAAATTATTACAAGAATGTGTTATTATATTGAATTTGATAATCACTATGTAAACTAGTTAAACGAGATCTAGCTAGAAATCAAAATGTTCCCACCTCAAATCTTTAGCCAGTGATGATTCACAAATTGAAAAATATTAAAAAAATTGCGAGGAATAAATTAAGTACCTGCCTTGGAAAAATACTTTCTCCCAATATTCAATCGAGAGACAAAATATTCCATAGTTTAATTCGCCAAACGACTTACAATTCCATAAGCAACTTAGTCAACATATTTGCTTTCGCCAGCTCCCCTTTCACGCAAAGCGACCGAACAGCAGAATAGAAAGAATCAAAATCCTGCAACTGACTTGTACTTTCATCCTCAGTGGCACAAATTTGCCGCACGTTTTCAACTTTCTCAACATCATTTCCACTGTCAAAATCATTAGAAGTCAAAGCACGCTTAGAAAAACTTCTACCAACAGGGAAAATAACCGAACCCACTTCATTCAGCACGTCAACAGCTTCATTGATGAGTCCTCGCTCACAGAGCAAACTAATTATTTTCTCCACAGAATCAGATTCAACTTCTTCAGTTTGTACAGTATTTAGGAGATCAACAACAGATTGAGTCCTAAGCATCTCTCTGAAAATGGTCCTCGATTCCTCCATTCTTCCTTTTGCACACAAGCCCCTAATCAGATACAAAAAACCCAAAAAATCCGGCAACAATCCCCTGCTTTTAAGCTCGAAAAATAACTTGAGAGCTCCTTCCATGTCACCTTTCTGGCAGTATCCATTGATCAATGCACTTACTGTGAACCCATCAGGTCGAAGATTTTTTACCTCTAAATCTTGGAAAAGCTTTATAGCTTCATCGAGTAAATTCGCTCGACAATAACCATTGATCAAAGAGTTGTAAATACGCGAGCCGGGCGTAAGATTTTTTACGAACATCCTCTCAAAGAGCATCTTGGCATCTTGTAAAAGTCCTTCTCTGACTAAAGCGTCAATAAGTGTCCCATAAGTAACTTCTGTCGGGAGTAAATCGAGTCTCTCGAGCGAATCAAACAATCTAAAAGCTTCAACCAGACAGCATTGCATGCAAAGCCCATTTATGACAGTATTGTAGGTGACTATGTTGAGAGCTATCCCTGTCTTTTTAGCTAGAGTGCATAAATCTAACGCCTTATCGATTTTCCTCTCTTTACAGAGAGCGTTAATAACAACTGTGTAGTGGAAAACATTCGTACCTTGAAGTTCATTTTCTGCACCCATTAAAAGACTATATGCATCCAAGGTTCGATTCTCATTCGTCAGTTTCTCGATAATCTCAACAGGAATTGTGATGCTCCAATTCCTCTCTTTCGCTGTCGAGAGAAAGACAAGCGCTTTTCTAACATCATGCAAGCATAGATGATTTGCTATTACCTTGCAGACTCTGAGATCAAACATGCCATAAATTTTAAGAAATGAGGTTAAAATAAGCTGAGCCAATGACATTTTCCCCTCAAACATAAGGGCTCTCAGAATTGTACAGTAACAGACGCTAGCCGAAGCTAATTCATTCCTTCTCCTAGCCAACAGCAAATCTTTCGTGAGATACTCGATAAACAAATCGACTGCCTTGTCCACCAAGCCATTTTCACAGAGACACAAAACAAAGCGTTTGTAACACGCGTCCGAAGAATTTGATGTCACTTCCTGAAACTCATTGAATATTTCCAGAGCCTCCTCAAACCTGCCCACTTTAGAAAACCCATTAATCAGAGTACTGTACGTGACAGAATTTGCCGACAAGCCCATTTCAGGCAATCCTTTATAAATCCCTAAAGCATCCTCAAACAAACCCACCATAAGCATGGATTTTATGAGTATATTACAAAGGATCATGTCCATACGTACGCCGGCTTCTTCCAGTCTAGCTTTTGTTTCTAAAATCCCTGAGTTATTTTCTTCTTTAATATAGCCTTGTAGCAATGTAGTGTACGTGACAGCATTTCCAATTACGGATTTTGAGAAATCATAAGCCTCAGACATCCTCCCAGCTTTGGATAAACCATTAATGACAGTGTTATATGTGACAACACCAATATTTATACCTTTCCTGTCCATTTCATTTAACAGCTTGAATACGGTATCAAAATCACCCTCTCTACAAACTCCATTGATCAGAATGACATATACGAACTCATCAGCTTCAATCCCAAGTCTCTCAAGCATGCCGAAAACTGCAAATGCCTCTGCTAGTTTCCCCTTCTTGCAAAACCCCAAAATAATTGCAGTGTAAGTAATTAAATTCGGTTCAAGCCCGTCCCTTCTCATTTTGTGCAAAAATCCAACGGCCTTCTCTACATTTCCATCCTTTGAGAATCCATCTATAAGTATGGTGTAACTAATGGCATCTAGCTCCACTTTTTTTTCAACCATGGCACTAAAATTTCGAAACCCCTCACTAAATAATCCTTCTCTAAAACACTCGTAAATCCAGTTACTATAAAACACAACATCAAAACCCAACTTATTATTCTCTATATAAGCAACCAAATCAGAAACCTTATCTATTTTCCCTAATTTACAGTATGCACTCATTAAAGATGTGCAAGTAACTACATTGGGCCTTAAAGAACCCGACTTTACGGCATTTTCATAAAAACCTACAGCAAGCTCAGGCTCCCCAATCCTCACAAAACCGGAAATCACAGAACTACAAACAAAATTATCATAAGGATACTTGAATTTATCATCAGAAATCAACTGCAATAATTCTATAACTCTATCCATTTTCCCTATTCGGCTGAAACAAAAAATCAACGAACAGAACGTACGAGAAGACGGTAAAACGCCATCTATCTTCAAGAAATCCTTCAATAGAGAAAGTCCCTTATCAGGATCCTGACTGAAAGCACAAAGCCCCTGGATTAAAGAATCAATGACACGATTTTTGTTAAACTCGTCGAAGTCCCCCTCGACATTTTTCAAGAATTCAGCTGCTTCTTCGAATTTCTTTTCTTTCAGCAAAGCTTTTGTGAAGATTGTGTTCGTTTGGTTGCCGCCACTGATTTTGTTCGCGGTGAGCTGAGAGAAAACGTAGATAATGGTTTTGAACCTTTGTTTATGGGAGAGAAAGAGGAGGAATTTGTTGAAATCTCTCAGGGTTGGAGTGAATCCTCTTTTCAAAAGGGTAGAGAGAGAGCCCATTTTCAAGTGGCCTTCATGCGGAGGAACGAATGTCATTCCCGAGGAATTTTTGAGTGTGGGAGAACATCACCCATGGCTGCTGGGACCATGGATTTTCAGCTGAAAATGGTGGAGTTCTGCTTTTGGTATTTACATTAGGAAAGACTGAACGCCGAAAAACGGGAGAAAGGAAAAACGAACGGATCAACCCGAGAGGAACTCAGTATGTAGAGCTGTGAAAGAGTTAATAAATGAGTTAAAACTCGGTTGATTTAATAATAAAATTAACGAGTCAAGACTCAAGAGCATCGAGGAGCCAAACTAAGACAATAGTTCAAAAAATTATGTAAAAAACCTTATTTCTCTAAGTTTAACGAGCCTTATAAGTTGAGCTCAATTCAGCCTCAGAACTAAAAGAATCGTTAAATTAGTTCGAGCTCGACTCATTCATCAAACGAATTGACTCGAGCTGTACATGTAACTCAATTCGTTTAACAAATATACGAGTTTGTAAACCAATATCTAAACCTCATAACCTTCATTGTTTCTTTCTTTTCTTCTTTTTGAGACACTGCAGCAACAATAACAATAAGAAAATCGACCCGTCATATTTTGTAAACCGAAATGCATATTTACGAACCATGAAATAATTTTGTGTATGTTGATTTTATAAAGTTGATGCTTTATAATAAAGTCATACATCTTAATGCAAAAGTACAATTGCCGACCATTAAGAGCACTCACAATGCTTTGGGTCTCTTAACAAAAAATCACATGCCACATGATAAATAGATCTAGTCTATAAAAAGTTACTTCCCAATGCAATTAAAAGTGGACATGGTCTAACTTATGTGGCAATGAAAAAAAGATACCAAGTCCACACTTGGGTCTATTTTGAACCCAAGTACAAACCCAAACACTCATCATTTGCTCTTAGTTTAATTTTTCTTTTAATGAATAAAACATATTAGAGCATTTTTATTGGTTGGCATGTATGCTAAACATAGTATTTTTATTTTTGCATTGCAAAGTTTTTGAGTTTTTTTATTTGGGTTTGTCCATATCATTTAAGACCCAAGTCCAATTATATGCCACATATACAAAAAGAGACCCAAAACATTGTGGATGCTCTAAGGGAACGTTTAGAAACCACTTCAAACCTTGGCTCACTTTTCTCATCTAACTCCGCTTCCTTCATATTTTTAACTCAAATTTGAATTCAACTTTAATCCAACTCAACTTTTCTATTATTTATCAATATAATTAAAGATTATCAATTAATCATTTTCACACATCATATAAAAAAATAATACTATTTATCTACTCATATATTTTTAACTACTCATAATTTTCAATCATCTATTACTTATACATTACATCAATTTTAAATATTATATTTTAAATATTCTTTAAATACAAAACGCAAAATCCTACTCCATGATCCATTCAATTAATTTTATTCAAAATTAACTCATTTTATCCAATAAATCATATCAAAACCAAAATAATTTATTCCCAATCACCCCCAAAGTCTACCTAATATCAACCATAGTACCTCAGACAAATAGTTATTCATCACATGACTCTTTAACTACAAATACTTATTATCACATAAATAAATCCAGTCAAAAATACAGTACAAACCCAGGTCAAAACCTACAAATACATAGCCCATGGCCAAGGCCATCACCTTACAACTCTCTTACACTATAATGGGGGGGAACACAAGTCATTCATTCCACCTATACATAACACCACAAACTACAGTCAAAAACTTATATATATTAAGAGATTTGGAAGAAACCAAACCACAAATCTTCCCTCCTCAACACACTAAACTTCAAATACTTTACATTCCTCCCCAAACCCACCTTAACGCATCCTTTCTGAACGTAAATGAACACGCATTATTCCCCACCAAAAGATTAAAAAAAAAAAAAAAATAATAAATTATTCTCATCAAATTCATAGCCTTCTTATCTCTTATAACCCATGGCCACAACCTGGAGTCTTACCTTATGGCCTCGGCTGCCTTTCAGCAAGACCTCGCCAAAGCTGTAGGCTCCGGTTATGGATCGTGTGGTGAGTGTGACAGTGAATTCTCGAGAGCTTCCTGGCCTAAGGGTCATGGCCGGAGGATTGGTTTCGATGGCTATGGCTGGAGCCATTCGAGCTGTGATCACGTAAGTTTCTTCTTCTGAATAGACATTGGTCACAATTCGCTTGACTGTGCGGGTCCCAACAAGGTGAGCAACTGTGATTGAAGGGGAGTTGAAGTTTGAGGGGTGGCCGAGGGTATAGTTGCAAGGTGTAAGTGTGTGGTTTCGAATCTCGTCTCGGTTGACGCCTGGCGTGGTGCAGAGGAAACCCATGTAGTCTTCGTAACCTATGGTTTTTGAGATTCAAATGAGAAAGTAAAAGGACAATGCAAATGAAAAAAGGCATTATGTAGCTACTAGGGAGAATATACATTCATCTAACTATAAGCTAAGAATTGTGTTTCGTTTTCTCCAAATGTTTGCAAATGCGGTAAAGATACGATCTTTTTGTAAAGGGAGACAAAATCTAGCCTTGTTGTTGAAGCCTGATTACAAACCCATAACAGGAACACAGAAAGGAAAAAAGACAAAAGTAAGTAATTTGGAGGATTTTCATGAAACCGTAAGTAAGCAGTGAGCTTTAATGTCTTGAGCAGAGACACAAAATCCAAGATCAGGTGTTTGTGATTTTTAAGAAGGAATCTGTGACTTCTTAAAGATCCAATTTTTTTTTCATCTTGCTTATATATTGTCCTTAATAATAATTTGAATCAAACTCCTTATCTAACAATCACTGAGAGAATGCTTGAATATAAGAATTTTTGGTTTTGTTTAGTTAATTTTGAAAAAAGTAGTATGCTTAGTTGTTAGTGGGATTTGAGTTTATATATAATATTTAAAATAAAATAATTAAACTAGATTTGAAGTAAAAATAGGAGAGAGGTAATGTGAAGTGCTGGTTAGTTAAAATTATGTGAGTGGATGAATAGTGAATTAAAGTTGATATAATATGCAAGAATGATTGAGTGGTATCATTTAATTATATTTATAATAGTGAAGATACTGAGTTTGAGTTAAACTTGAGTTTAAAAAAAAAAAAAGTAATTGGATAAAAATGATTGATTTTTTTTATTTATTTATTTATTTATTTTTTTTGAAAACTTGTATCCAAGCATAAAGAATTGGAAGTATATGGAAAAAAATTAAGTTTATTACCTGCATCCAAAACGAGTCCCGGATCAAGAGCTGCTCTAGGAGTCACGTGCCCACTCCCATAATCAAGAGGCGTTGCAGGGACGAAAGATATCGACTCAGAGCCCGAGTACTGTTGTGCCTGAAGTGGTCTCTCAGCTCGATCGATTGTTGTGGCCGTTGTCATAAGGGCCGACTTAATTGCAGCTGCACTCCAGTGAGGGTACTTTTGCTTCACAAGTGCAGCTATTCCGGCTATATGGGGCGCTGCCATGCTCGTGCCCGATATCATGGCAAATCTTTCTCCTGCTCCAAAGTAAAGATAACTATACATTCAATCAATTACAGAAAGAAATTTTTTTTTTTTTTCTTTCTATCAAGTATACCATAAAAACTTGGAACAGTTCTTTTTTTTATCATTCCCATTTAGTAAAATTGGAGAGTGGTGACTTCAAAACATTTACCGACAAAATTCGCTTCGTCTGTGCCGTTGGGAGACCAAGCAGCCCAAATTAGAGAGCCAGGGGCTAAAATGTCCGGTTTCAAGAGATCCGCATCAGTATAACTGTAATCTTGGATATTGGGCCCGCGGGCCGAGAAGACAGCTACTTGTGGTGCAGACTTATAGAAACGTGGCATTCGACCGTCCTCAATTTTTCCCATTGCTTTAAAGCTCTTTACCCTTCCGCTCCAATCTCTAACTGTAGAGCTCTTGTAATAGTCTATAAGCATCTAAAAAGAGGAAAAACGCCATTTCAAGAACAAAGGCCACGAAATGAGTGCACGAAAGCAGCAACATTAACTTATAAGGATCATAAAAAGTAAATAAATAAAAAATATTCAGTAAGTACCGATGATTTAATAGGGTCTGAGAGGAGAATCCCAGAAATAGAAGTGGGGATGGGATCGTATTTTGTTCCGGGAGAAGCACTTTCGACAGCAAGGACAAAGCCAACTGCACCGAGGCTTTTAGCAGTCTCGGCTACTTTTTTTATTGAGGCAGTTCCAGAGACAAAATTAAAAGAGTAACCACAAAGAAGGATTTTCCCCTGCACCAAGTTTTTGTTGAGAACCGAAGGGTTTTGGCAGTCGGCAGAGGCATATTTATTTCCAGAAGGATCCAATAAGACATCAGTAGCAGCAACCAAGGGAAATGTTGTGTTCACAGGAGTTGAAGCTGCACAAAGAATATATATTCATTAAAATTTTCAGATATTATACTCAAAAAACAGAAACAAATGGAAGAAAAATGAATAGTTTTTAAAAATAGCATGTGAATGTTACTAAAAAGACAAGCCTTGTTTTTAAACAGATATCCCTTTATTTGTCTTTGAATCGAGATAATGTCGTATTTCACAAATATTAACTGAAACAGGACTTGTTCTTTGATGAATACTAGTTGATGATAATTATGCTGTCAATTTCCATCATTTCTAGGGGAGGCTTCCTATGGCATCATATTCTACAAAAACCAACACAAAATAATGCTTGTTTCAAATTGCAAGAAAGGATCTTGATGTTACATCTATCTTGCATTTGGACCTACCATTTGAGGTGTCAACAGAAGTTACTCATGTCATCAGATATTCTTACCATTACAAGCCGTAACTTTTACGTATAACTGATCTAAATATTACCAATCAATCAAAAACAAAATTTGGGGCTATTCAATATTTCAAAAAAAGAGGAATGTAATTGTGAAATATTCCACGGCACAAGCTAATCCCATTAAATATCAACTAACAGGTAAGACAAACATAAGAATGAATCAAAAACTCAACAGCAGTTTTTCTCATTCTTCAAGTTAACTGGTATTTTTACTAAATCTTAGGGCAGTTTTTTTCTATAATTATCCCTATTTCGAATCGTTATCCGATATACATATAGATAAGACAGAAATGCAATAGAACAAATCGCAATATTAAATCCTACATGAAACTTACGCGACAAACCAAGTCCAGCTAAAATTTTTCCGTTTCCCAAAGTCAAGTGCTTTTTATATCGTCGATCATCAACTGCAGCAGCTACAGTTGTTATCCACGGGCTGTAAGACACCATAGTCTTAGGTGAAGGGCCTCCATTCCCAGCTGCCTGAGCTACAAATACTCCAGCTTGCACAGCCGAAAGAAGGGTTATGTCGAAAGAGTTTAGGTACGTGATCTTCGTATTAGTTGGGGGACTGTTGGGCCCCACCGAAAGGTTTAGGATATCGACACCATCATGAACTGCCTGTTATAACATATTGAATCATGTGATGTGAGTTCGCTCTGTACTATTAATCAAACAGAAAAAAAAAATTAAAAAAAAAAAAAGCATCACTAAAATGATAATTATCAAGATTTTATTCTATTATTATGAAATAGCTGGTCACTAGAAGGGATGAGAGAAAGGAAGCAAAAAAACTTATGTCAGGCGGTATTATGGAAGATAATCTCTTTTTGAGTCTAAGCATAATTTCCCATCAGAATCTTTAAATTATAGAACACGCCAAAAGCAATGCTGCTGTCTGAACTCCAATTTTATAAGCTTTGCATAAATAAAACAGAAATGCACACACACAAAACTTCACATTTGAGAATACCTGATCAATGGCGGCAACCACATCTGCAACAAATCCTCCGAACAATCTGTAGAGTGCCTTGTATACAGCAATCCTACACAAAAAGACAAACAAATCTACTAATTGAACAAAAAAAGGCAATCAATTGTCAAACTATCTGTAATACAATTTTCCGAAGTCCAAGTCATTTAATAACAGGAGCTATACCTAGCACGAGGCGCCATTCCACTTGCTCGTCCGAATTCATATCCTTGCATTCTCACTGGTATCCCGTTGTTACCAGCTGCAATAGCTGCTGTATGACTGGTAAAATATAGTGGAAGTAAGTTTTGATAATTAAAGCAAAAAATGTTTTGCCAAATTACCCAAGGGTAGATTTTGTAGTTATCCCTACATATAAAATACAACACAACCAAGTCTAATCCCCTTCTCTTAACATTTTCACTCTCACCCTTGCAATCAGAAGAGTTACAAAAGGGACAAAAAGAGAAAGAAAAAGAGAATGCAAATAACATGTAAGAAAACAACAAGCCATAATTTCTAAACACGAAGAAATCAAGCATAGAAAATCGAACCTTCCATGCCCATCACCGTCTAGAGGAGAATCAAAATCGACATCCTGATTAAATTCACCAGAAGCTTTAGCAGCCTCAGCAAAATGCTGGGCTCCAATAATCTTCCCGTTACAAAATTCATTCTTCGTCCTTGGCTCCACCTCGCATTTGCCTCTGTACTTAAAGAGAGGCCCATATACACTTTGGTGTGCTGCGAAGCTTGGGTGCTGAGGATCTATTCCCGAATCCACAAAACCTATCACGACATCCTCTCCAGCCCGATCCTCTCCACCTCTGGTGGGCCACACGCCAGTCGGAAGGCCCAAAAACTGTGGTGTGTGTGTTGTAAGCCTTCTCACTTTCCAGTCTCTTTCCACTGACTTTACGCCTGGTGCTCGTCTGAGTACCTCTGCCTACTAATACGCGCAATGTATAAGATAATATGCGCATTGAAGATCTGTACACTATTTTCTTCAATAATTATCTTATTATTAATTTTCTTAATCATGACATAAAAGCAAAGACAAAAGGAGTACAGAAAAAAATACCACCTGATCAGGCGAAGTGTGAACTGCAAACCCATTGATTAGGTGTTTGTAGCTATAGAGTTTTTTGTAGGTCCCTTTGTCGAAAAGCATGCCAAGAAGCATATCGTGCCTCTTTTCTAGATGGCGGGCATAGGATATGACCATGTCACTGAAAAAGTCAACCAATAAACAGAGAACCTTTCATTTTACAGATTCAACAGGCTTGTTTTATAGGAAGATAAGAAAACATATATTGTAATCGTCCAGAGTCATGCTGCTTGAAGATTTAGGAGTGACGGATAAAGATTTGCTCTCGTGTGTGTGCTTAGTCAATATAAATCTTGGAAAGTATCATAAACTAAAATCACACGTGCCCAATATATCTCATCATGATCATAAAGTAGCATTGACTTGAACGAGACAAGTCATAGTGATATAATGACATATGAACATCCCAGTATGTGATGTTCTTTTTCCATGTCAAGTGTTAAAAGACAGTGCAAATGGAGTCAAAAGATCATATCACAAACTAGAACACACAAAAATGGAGTACACGAAATCATCCAAATTTAGAGATCAGCAAAGTCATGTACACAAATTTTGGGAGCCACTGATTTAGGTAACCATACGAAATTTCAGTTTAATCCAGCTTACAAAACCTAAAAAGTCTTAACATTTATTTTCTACCTTCAAGTTTATATAGCATGTGAAAATGATACCAGTAATACCTAAAATCAAATAAAGTTAATGTCAAAAGGACTTCACATACATGGAGTAGGAAAAGAACATGTCAGACAGACAAGTGGCTAAAACACCAGTCATTTACGCCAAACTCATGAGTATTCACTAGATGTCGATAAACATCAAAATGAAGAGATCATTTACATGTTGAAATACAGCCTATTGAAAATCAAGTTACATGATCGAAAACCATCACTTGAGTAGATAACATAATATGAGCACCTGGCGAAATCGATCTTTTGATCAGAATCAGAATCAACTGCAGTGGCTTCAAACCCGTTAACGCCACCTTTATAGCTCACCACAGGCTCTCCTTCAAGTCTCACAATGTATATTTCTGCTTTCCCCAAAAGCACAACACCCACAAAAGTTAAGGCCATAAAATAGCCATTCAAATCTTTGTTCCTCATTTCGGTCAACTCTCTTCCAACTCTTCAAATCCTTGCAAAATCGAATCCTACACACAGAAACCCGACAAGTACGGATAGTTGTTAACAAAAATCACTGCGTGTGGTTCTTATCGAAAGCATATCAATCAGATCAGTAAGAAAAATCTCTCCAAACATATCAGATACAATTATTTCAAGAACCATGAGCTAATATTTTCTACAAACACAAACACAAACACACACACGTGTTTCAAAGCTTTTAGAAGAAATAAAGCAGTAAATTACCAGGCGGGCGATAATCTAAGCAGTGGATGACACAACACGTGCCTTGGCAGAACTGAAGTTCACTTCTATGTTTTCTGGGTACTTTCTCTTTCTTATCTCCTATTCATATTTTTTCTCCGTGTGAGCAATTTACCTGCGATACGGCTAATTTTATATACCGACAAAACTTTACAAATGTATAAAGAAAGCTGTGAGATTCAAGCAAAGAATCAGCAGACAAATGAAAACGAAAATATCAAAAGATCAGGTAAAATCCCATCAGAGGGTAAAGAAGGAACAACAAAAAAGTACAAAAGATTAGATCTTTACTCACATTATCCAAGATAAGAACACAAAACCAAAAAACTGCTGCAACAATTATGGCCTTGTTCCACCTTTTTTCTTCACCAAGCTACCCCACAGCCCATTTCTGTAAATCCCACAAAAGCAAGAAAAATCAAGAAATGCAGCCCATCAATTATCAGCATCTACCCTTTCAATCTAAAGCCAGAAAACGGATGCTAATCAAACTGGGCATGTAGTTTTCTTTTTCTTTATTTTATTTTTTTTTTCCTTTTTTTCTCTATCTTTTGCCCCCTTCTTCTGGTTGGTGAGTGAGGAACTGTGAGATAAATGGCAGATGGTAGTAGTGACCAGTGACAGTGAGTTAAGTGGAGGTAGTTAGGGTTCTATTGGTGAAGGAAAAATTACACTAAAAAAATTTGTTTAGGAGGAGATAAAGGACGGTTTTCTTGAATGATTCCATTAAACTATTGCCGCCAGTTCATCTCTAGCAGTCATTGTTAATGGAAGATGATTTATGGCCTCTCCTTTTTTTTCCCTCTTTTTTTTTCGGTACTTTTACAGGTGTCATGTAAATTATGATTTTTCATTTATTTTGATGAGAATGAGTGATATTTGTTGATATTTTTTATTGTAACATAAAGAAAAGAAAAAATAGTTTTAATAAATAAATAAAATACCTCGGATATTGGGGAATTCAAAAATATTTGTTCGAAAATAAGTCATTTACCATATTTTATGTAATATTTTTAAGTGATCTTGTAAGTAGCAGTAAATAAAAGTATAATGAGTTGACTCCTTATGTAGTTTTATTTTTATACAATAATTTATGCGCATTTATATATTTAAATCATCACCATTTTGTCACTTTAGTTATTTGCCTAAAATTAAAATTATTGGTAGTGTATCGTTTCATTCACTAGTATGATGGGTTATTGGAGTAACTAATTTAGTTAAGGGTTTCACTTAAGGTCAGATTTATAGTTTACTTCCGTGTTTCATTTTATTAAGTTAATGGCATGTGTAATCTATAACACTATCATATATGTGGGTTGTTTATTCACTAAAATAAATAAAAATTAAAAATGAAATTGATAATCACATTACTTTCTCTTTTTCCCTTTCTCAACTCTTTCTTGATTTTTCAGTAATAATAATAAAAAAAATATATATATATATTTATATATAAATTTTTTGTTTTCCTCTATTGTTACCCAGTATTATTTCCATTATCTTCGTGGGAAATCAAATGAAAATTAGTCACTATTGCACTCCATCCCAGAAGGATTTGGGAAATGGAAAAACTTCCAAAGAGAATTATAATTGCCACAAAAGGCATGTTTTCCTATGAAAAAATGTAACGTAGCCCTATCAAATGGAAATGGTCTTGTTTTCTTATTGCAACATCATAATCATACTTCTTTTTAAGTTAACTAGTGCGTGGCCCGTGCGATGCACGGGAAACAATATTACGATTGTATTATAAATTAAATATATATATAATATTAATCATGATTTACCCATTGTTTTTAAATTAAATCGGGTTGGACACAATCCGGGCGGATGGACCGAAAACCGATTTATAACCAGTCTAGTTGCTTGAATAAATTATTAGCTATCGAATCTGTCAACACCAGTCGGTTTGACTGGTAGGATCGATATCGATTTTCTAAATAAATTTGGTTACATTTAAAATTATATAAACTTACATATTTAAATAAAATGGAGATTTATAAACTCTTTATCAATAGTTTAAACATTTGAATTTATAAATTGTTTAGATATTTAAGTATCACATTTTCTTTAAATTTATTACAAAAAGTATTATATATATAAAAATGTTTATAAATTAAAATCTGAACAGACCACAAATAATTTAATAAAATAACTTGATCTTTTCGATGATTTATATATATTTAAAATTTGAACAGAGCACAAATAATTTAATAAAATAACTTGATCGTTTCGATGACGGTCCGGTTCTGAAAACTTTATATTTCTTGTACATTAATAAAAATTATAATAAAATATTATTTTATTCATAAAATAATTAATAAAATAATATATAAATATTTATAAATTATTAAACATGTTGTCATAAAAATATTGTTAATATGATTATTTAAAGTTTGGACTACATCACATTCAAGTAATAAAGTATTTTTAATATTAAAATTTATATTTAAGTTCAATAATCGAATTGGTCTGATCAAACAGATAGATAACTTAATCACTTTCAGTCCAATCAAGTTGTGTCAATTTTTTTTGACTATTTTAAATATCACCTAAAAGTAAAACAATCAACTTAGACAATACCCTAATTTAATCATCTGATTGATCCAAAGAAATTTCTTTATTTTTTTTTTTATATATTTAATTTTATGAAATAAAAATATTTTATGATTCATATAATAAATGTTTACACCAAATGATAGTACATTAAGATTATAAATTATATATCTAAAGATGAATTAATTATTTTTACTTTATGAATATTAATAAAAAGTACCTCTCCTTTTAGTCGAGCATCTGTTATGACCTCTCGCGTTGAGCTCGACTTTAAGGAGAGGAAAGACCCGAAGTTAATTAGTTTTACTTTATGCATGTTAATAAAAAAAAAATAAACATAGTAATTTTCAAAAAATTAAGATCAATTGATTGATTATGCAATTTAAAGAATATGTGTATTTTCAAGGAATAAATTTCTTCATGTAAGGGATTTTGTTTCTTTAAAACTATCCAAATTCATATTCATATGGGCAATTTGAAAAAGAACATGACACTATGAATACAAAATATCTTTTAACAAATAAAGCAGATTCAATTTAAGATTTATTAGTTTTAAAAATAATAAAATTATTAATTTAGGCAGTGATATGTGATACATATATTTAAGTCTTACATAATATTTTACCATTAAATCATTGGCAATTTAAATAAGAAGACTAAAATATTTCTGTGATTTAACATAGAAAATAAAAATTAATTTAACAAATTACGTGGTCATCAATTTAACAAATTCCAAATGATGTTGTTCGTGTTTTTAAATTAAAAATTAAAAAAATTTCCATTCATAGAATGTAATTAATACTAAGCATCTTTGATCATAGAATTGACCTCTTATTTTTTAAAAATGTTAATTCTTATTATATATATATATATATAGATTTCGTGATAGGTCTTTAAAATCCAGACCCCGTGATTGAATCGGGCTGGACTTGGAGTCACCAGGTCACTGTTCTAAGGGTTGGGTCACCATATCAATTGTTGAATCGTGTAATTAATTTTATAAAATTTTTAATTATAAGTATATTATTTTTAGCTTATAAAAATACATAAAATAATATTTACATGTAAATTTTGTACAGTAAAGTATTAATAATATTATATTTTATCATAAATATTTATCACATAAATATATATATACATAATTTTATTTTTAAAAATAAAAAGTAAAATAAAAAATTAATGGCCAGGTCAAACCGAGTTGATCCAGTCAAGTCAATACTCAAGTTGACCGTGTCAAGGCTGAGTCGGCCAGGCTTTGACCGGGTCTCTTGCTACCCGGTTCAAACAACCCACCTGGACGGGTCCCAACCATGGGTGTAGCGGGTCAGTCCGAGTCTCAAAACATTAGTTAGGTTGACCTATCAAAACACTGGTTAGGTCAACCTAATCATTAAGCTGAAATATTTTTTTTTATAATATAAAATACACATTAAGCTGATTTTATTATTTTTAATATTATTAGAAAATATCATATTTTATAAAATAATATAAATAAAAGTATGATATTTGATAATATAAGTACACGTTTGTGTATATAGTATCATGGGTCTACCAATCTATTCTTTTGTTTATTTAAAATCAGCTTTTATATGTTGTACTTTAATTCTTATTCCCTATTTGTTTGAATTTTCCCATTTCCATGCCTTAGTAAAAGCAAAGATGCTACTTTGCCCAAAGTATGTCAATCTTTTAATTTGTGGAGTATGGTTATATCAAAATTAATATTGCTACACTGTACAATTCGACATAAGAATAATGTTATAAATAGATGATATTTCAAATATGGTTTTTTTCCAGGCCTCAAAAGTCAAAACTCAAAAGGCACACTCGTTATTGTTCGGTAAGAATTAGGGCAATCATAAGTAATATTTTTGTAGTATGGGACATTATAACTTTTGATTCACAATGTTTGCTATGTTACACCTAAGTTGAGTTCGTCATACACAATAATATTTATTTTTTTATAAGAGAGTCACATTATACCGAAATATCTTTACCATAAAATTAACTGAATTTTAAATGGCAACAGTCAACAAATATCTTATATTTTGTTTT